GGGGGGGAGGTGGCGCGGCCGCTCCCGGCCGCAGGTCTCCAGAAATGACCCGAGGCCGGCGGGGGAGGGTCCGCGGGAGCCCTTCTGCTGACGGTGTTTTCTCGTTGACTCCGGCAGCGAGCGGAGGCGGGAGCCATGGAGATGCAGTCGTACTACACCAAGCTTTTGGGGGAGCTCAACGAGCAGCGCAAGAGGGACTTCTTCTGCGACTGCAGCATTATCGTGGAGGGGAGGATCTTCAAAGCGCACAAAAACATTTTGTTCGCCAACAGCGGTTATTTCCGAGCCCTGCTGATTCACTACATCCAAGACAGCGGCCGCCACAGCACCGCCTCTCTGGACATTGTCACCTCGGAGGCCTTCTCCATCATCCTAGATTTCCTTTATTCCGGGAAGCTAGATCTCTGTGGGGAAAATGTTATCGAGGTGATGTCTGCGGCTAGCTATTTGCAGATGACCGATGTGGTCAACTTCTGCAAAACATATATAAGGTCGTCGTTAGATATTTGCAGGAAAATAGAGAGAGAAGCTGCTTTCTATCAGGCTGATAGCGGGAGCGCTAGTTCTGCAAGAGAGGGCACCTCGTACAGCTCAAAGAGCCAGTGCTCTGCCTCTGTCTCCTCCCTGCAGGAGAAGGAAAGGATTTCGGATTGCCAGAGAGATCCTCCCTGCGGCGAATGCAGCAGCTGCCATCCCCTGGAGCTCGTAGTCAGGGACCCTGTAAGCAGCGACTCTCCAGAGGACGTTAATTCTTCGCTGCCCAAGGGGGTGGAACCCAAAGTAGAGTTTGACTCGGATGAAGTAGAAGTAGAAGTGGGTGAACGGCTGCCGCAGTATCCCACTCCGTTGTCCCTCGAGCAGATGGAAGAGGGGCTGCACGGCGGGCAGGCGATGGACCTGGCCTGCAATAACTATCACATGAAACAATTCCTAGAGGCTCTGTTGCGCAACAGCTCAGCTCAGAGAAAGGATGATGTGGTTCACCACTTTGTCCGGGGCTTTGAGGGTAGGCCAGAGGATGCAGGGGTAGCCATGAGTTCCATGATGGACATTCACAGCGACTGGTATGGTGAGGACACAGGTGAGAGGACTCCAGGGGGGTGTAGTCTGTATAATCGAGGAGGAAAGTGCGTAGTGTGCGACTTCCTTTGTTACTCTCGTTCTTGTTCAGGAATATATTGCTGAATATTATGCCGTAGCAAAATAAACTATTGTTCTGGACTTCAAAAGAAAGCTGTACTCATTTATTCAGTGCAGCATTTGGGAGGTAAGTATTTCTAACAGTTTTTACAGTCTCTTTGAAACAGATCCTGGAGCTTGGTGTTGGTGACCCTGCTTTAATAAACAATCTCACTGGGGACCTTGTTGAACGGCAGGTGAATTTTTAAAAAGAATCTTCCTCTTGTAGTGTCAGTGTTATAAGGAGCAATTGGAAAGATCAGTTGAGCTGCCACAAGAGGGATCTGCTGTAGAACCTGACAGAGCAGAAGTAGCTTATTCCACTGAAGCTCCTGACAGCACATCAGTTGCTGCATGACAGTCTGTTTGCTGTTACTTTGAACTTTAAAAGGGCAGAAATCAGTTCTATTCAATACTGAGAGATACCTAGAAATTCTTTCAAGAGCACCGCAAGCTTTAAACTCTGTGGTGTTGCATAAAGACAAGACTTAACTTTTACCTCTAGCGGCAGACTCGCTTTTCAGCGGCTGGTCACCTGCTTTCCCAAGCTCAGGCCTGTTGGGATGTCTCATGCTGGCAGGAGTAAGTCCTAGCAGCAGTGTCAGGGACCTGGAGAAGAAGGTCATGTCCCTGTGCCTTTCTTCTGAAGTGGACAGTAAGGATTTGAGCATTTTGTCTGCTTACGGTCACACTGTTGCACAGCTTGCCTCGCCCAAACTGCCTTAGGAAGATGGGAGGCGGCTCTGACAAATGCTGCAAGTGCCATCGTGGTTCAGGATGTGACAAATATAATAATGGTGTGGGCAGCAGACAGGAAATCTTTCCCTTAATATTCTACTCTAGATAGCAGGCTTACATTCATGTCATTTCCAGCTCAAGCAGGCATGTGTGATCTTAAAGCCAATAAACCCAATATAGTCTCTCACTGCCTTAAAATAAGGAATCAGATAAAATCACAAATCCAGCCCCCCCCCCCGTCACCAGAGGACTAGTTACCAGAACAGAGCGCCATCACCAGCACGTTTTTGATGTGTAGCAAGGCGAGACCATCTAACACACAAACTCTGCTTATGTTTTTCCCCTCTTAACGTCTTCAGACTGTAAATGAATCATTAAAAGGGAAATGCTCCTGGAATTTGATAGAGAACATCAAGTGTTATGACGATGTATTAGGAATGTTAAAGGTAGATGTGCTTTAAATAGGAGCAGGGGGATAAAAACCAAACCTTGCATTCAGTTATGCTTCTCTGCTAAAATTGAACATTGTAAACATTTAGTAGAAGTATTATTTTCCCAAGACACCAGGAATGAGAAATACAAAGTCCTGATAAAAGAATGGTTCTCTCATTGCGTTCAGGCTGACAGATTAAGTGCCACTTACTTTCAAGTGTCCACATCTGTTCCAGTCATCCTGGTCCCTTTCACAGCTGTTGGAGGGTGAACAGGCACTTCTAGAGAGCCTAGAATCAAGGCAAGTCTAAGTTTTTTTTTTTTTTTAAAAAAAAAAAAAAAACACACACAAAAAAAAAAACCACAAAAAAACCCCAGAGATCTAAATGCCCAGCGGCATTAGCAATACCTTGAGAAGGTCTGAAATTGGGCGAGATGAATTTCACTCACACGTTAATACTTAGATGCTCCTGGTTTTGAGACTGGGTTAGACAACCCTTAGCATAAGGAATGTTCTACAGCCCCACTACTTGGGGGTAACTATTAAAGAGCTCAAGGCTCGGAATGCAAACTCTTTCCTGAATCAATACCTGGAACAGGGAAAACTAATCTTTCAGTGTAGTATCTCAACCTTTATGTGGGAAAGGAAGCTCCTATCTGGGCTGATACTGAAAAACTTGGCAATACCCATGTTTATGTAAAACTTAATTCTCTCTTTTTCCATCTGACTTCATAAATTACATATTACCTGTGTGTGTATAGTTTTGATTTTAGGAAAAGTAAAATACCAGCAGCAAATGTACTGGAATCCTTCACCTTGTTATAACTAGTAGAAGGGGTAAAGTGAACGGCAGTGGAAACAAGCATTCAGATTTTTAGATGGATTCCTTACATCTAAATTTATGCACTTTGTAAAAGCACGTGGGACGCAGTGCACTACTTCTACCTGTAATTTGGTTTAGTTTCTAATGCTGTTAATTAAAAAAAAAAAAAAAAAAAAAGACTTTCTGTGGCTGAGATAGTGCAGAGACCCCGCTGCACTAAAAACAAATTTTTGTCAATTGAATGGCTTCTTAAAATCAAATTAATTTGTTTTTCTGTTGTGAGCCATCTCCCTTAGAGTATCACCTATATAAGTATAGGCAGGCTGATCATCAAGGGACTTGATCTCTGCAGCTGCATGCGTGTCTTCTGAAATTGCACAACCTACAGAAATTCCAGGTAAGCCAAATACAAAAAGAGGAGAAGGTGCAACTATCTTGACTCAAGATTTGCAGCTCAGAGGATAAGCAGCCCGCCTACCTGACGTCAGTGAACTGCCTGATCTAATGCGTTGTGTTTTTGGTTTTTTTGTTTTTTTTTTTCCAAAAGGTGATGTATTAGTTGTGCCAATCAAGCTTCACAAATGTCCGTTCTGTCCCTACACGGCCAAACAGAAAGGAATTCTAAAACGGCACATTCGCTCTCACACAGGTGAGAGACCTTACCCCTGTGAGACGTGTGGGAAACGTTTCACTCGGCAGGAACACCTTCGGAGTCATGCTTTAAGTGTAAGTCTGAAAGATTATCAGGAAATTTTAAAAGTTTTGGGCGTTTCTCGAGTGTATTTCCCAAAATGTTGGACGAAATGATTGTTGCCGATGTGAGATAAACTTTTCTAATAGTAAGTTTAACCTGTTGGTTATTTCCTTATGTAGCCCCAAATTTTTGGTGCGGGAAATGGGGATGGGATCATCTGCCCTTTAGCTTAAGTGTAGATGTTTTTGTGTTCTGGGAATACATACAAACCAGCACCCCAGGAGGAGCTGTAAGGCAAGAAGTTAGATTACCTTTTTTTTTTTTTTTTTTAAAACACTGTTTTATTTTTAACTTCAGGTGCATCGATCAAACAAGCCAATTATCTGTAAAGGCTGCAGGAGAACATTCACCAGCAGCCTGTCTCAAGGATTACGACGCTTTGGCTTGTGTGACAGCTGTACCTGTGTGACCACTACCCACGAGGACTCGATGCCCATTAACCTCAGCGTAATGGAACCCTCGTCAGAAGGCCAGGAGAAGGGTGACACTGATAACGACTGGCCCATCTACGTGGAGTCTGGAGAGGAAAACGATCCAGCTGATGATGATGATGGTGATGACAAGCAGGAAATCCACAGGAGCTTATCAGACCGAGAAACACTGATGTAGCAGTGAGAGGAGAGTGGGAGCGTTTAAAGCGTCTCCCTGACAGTCTGCAACAGAAAACTGCTTATTTGCCCTATTAGTGAGACTGTGCTGGTTTTTATTATTCCATTTTTTTACTGGAAGAGCGGGGAGAATTGGATTTTTTAATACTTTTCAGTGCTGTGCACCAGAAATCTGTGAAGAATCTTCTGTCTGGGGTTCACAGAGGTTGGACTTGAGCAATTTCCAGTGGTGTCTCTGCCTCCTAGTTTTGATTTTGCAGGTGGAACATCTCTGTGTTGTTTTGATAACAGGTTTCTTCAGATAATGCTGTCGTGGTCCTTATTCCCTGATCTGATAGGGGCACCGTCTTCTCTCTGAAGATTACATTAAAAGAAATGTAGTTTTCATCCATTACCTTGGACTTTTCTAAACTAAGTCGTGATCCTTCTGTATTAGGACAGTATTATCTAAATTGTAAACCTTAAGTGTTTGCTTAGACTGGATTTGACCTGGAAACCAGGGAAGACAAATCAGGATAGCAAAAATAATGCTGCTACTGGAAGCACAGACAGTAAGAATAAATATATTTCATGTGTCCTTAATTGCAGGTATTTAGAGAACCAGCTTCTCTTTCTGAATTGTTTTTACTGCATCTTCCTCCCTCAAGAGCTCAGACTACAGATCTTCAGACGTGTCTTTAATGTCATTTAGACATTAGTAGTCTTGGCTTAAGAGATATTAAGCACACATTAGGGTGTCCTGTTCTCTCAGTTTAGACTAAGCGAACTGCCCGGTTTTCTTCAGCTTTTTACAGTTAAAAGCTGTCAATCAGGTTACTTGGGCATTCTGATTCTGGTAGATTAAATAGCCAGATTCACAGCTGATGTAGCCAAGGAGCAGTTAAATATTTTAAATATCTGAGCTATGCATATAAACCAGCTCTGAATACCCTTTTTGAAGCAATTGATTAGGAGATCTCAGAAATTTTTACTAGCCTCTTTGTATGCAATCCCTTTTCTTTTTCTTTTGCTATATTTTAGTCTTTGATGATCCTTCTCATGGTTTATGTTGTTGTGTGAATTTATTCAAGTACTGTTTTGGTTTTTTGGGGTTGTTTTTTTTTTAAGCTTCACTGTGGACCTCATGTTTCTTTGCTGGGATAGATAAAGGTTGGCTTTCAAAGGAGGTGAGGATTTTTTTTTTTTTACCTTTCCAGTAGTAAGTTGATAGAAATTATCAAAAATCAAGCTGGGAAGCTTTAGAAGAAAACACACCGCCAACAGAAAGCCTGTTTGTTTATGGGTAACCTACTGTTTCCTAACGAAGAGACAAAACTGAAATATACTGTGAAATAAGACTGTTAATGCTTCTTTACTATGTTGTTCATAAGTGTTTCATGAAAAGGCAGATTGTAATGAGTCTTTCTTTCTAGCTGGAGTAAGTGCTGGATCAGAAGCCTGTAGGCAGACGTGGCTGACAATGAGCAGTTCCTCCCACTTCACGAGACAGTGCTTCTTGAGCCTTGCAGTGTAGACTTAACACTTGGCAAACGTTTAGATGGAACCTAAAAAAACGAAGAGCCCTCTGATTTAACCAATTGGGGTGGTTGGTTTGTGGTTTGGTGTTTTGGTTTTTTTGCATACCTTGTGCTTTTATTTTACACGCTGAAAAGGAGCAATTCGGTTCTTCTATCTGCTTCATCCTGCAGTGAAACAGTAATCCTGTAGTGATGTTGCAGTTTCCTTGTGAGAGGTGATTCTGGTGTCGCAAGTGCAGTGAAGAATTCACTCCCAGATCACATAGGATGAGGAAAGGGGAAACAAGCTGCTTTTTAAACAAGTCACTTCACTAATGGTTCCTGAAAACAGCAGAAAGTAAAAAGATTTGTTCTGAAACATCTCTCTGGTGTAAGTTCTTGATGAGTGCCACCTTTGTGAGAAGATACTGGCGTCACATGTCACATTTATTTTCTGTAGCTTAAATTGCATAAGCTTTCAGTAGGCCCTATTCCAGGTCATCTGTAAATTTGAATTTGTAATAGCTGAACAGTACCATAGTGATACACACCATCAGAGAAAAAACTCACTGGGACAAGGTCTTAAAAAAATTCAGGGCTTCACAGTCTCTATTTTAGTCCTCTAAATTAAGACCATCAAAGAGACAGCTCATGGAGATGCCAGATTTGGAGCTGAGCTAATCCTGCTGTGGTTTTTGGGTCCTTAGCACTTCTGAAAATCTGAGCAAAACGTGGGCTTGTAAATCTTGCCAGCACATTTGAAAATGCCACCTCCAGCCTAACAGGGCTAGTCTTTTGGACTACTATTTTTGTTGAGTCCATCCAACACCAGAGGGTATTTCTTTGGTATCTGTTTATCTGATAAAGGACAGACTTGTGCACGTGAGAACACCTGGGGAAAAAAAAAAAAAAAAGAGTCGCGGATTATCCGTGTTCGTTGGGAGAGTAACTCGCTAATGAAAGTGGGGTAGGAATGTAAATAGGGATCCAAAATGGTAGTTAGTGACCAGGCACCCCAATTTCTGGTCGCTCTAGCATGAAGATGCCACCTCATTGTAAATATTGGTAGAAGCTGCTAGATAGGGAGGATCAGCTGAGCGTGGTTCTGGCTAGTGCACCACAGTGAAACTGTCAGATTTTGGCTTTTCACGCGGCAGAGCTGCGCTGAGGTGTGGGGTGGGCGACTCTGAAACCGTGAAGACATTCAGAGTAGGGAAAATGAACCTCTCGTGAAAGTCTGTGCGTAGTGAGAGCTGCGGGACCGACTGCGGAGACCTTCGGCGCTTTTACTTCAACCTTTCTTCGGTCTTAGAGATTGTTCTTGTGTGTCTTGTGCGTAGAGAATGGAGCTGTGTAAAGGTTTGTGTCGCACTGGGTAAAGGGGTTGGGGCGGGGGGTTTATGCCATTCACATTCCAGATGGAAAGTCACCACCGAAATGGATGTTTCCTGTTGATCCGTCATATTGTGCTGCTTTGTTTTCAGTGGAGTCCTTCAGCCTTTGTATTTAGAAGAGGATGTCGTTGATCCACATTCTTGTGACCAGAGATGTTCATGTAAATCTGTTTGCTGTGCTTTCCACTTCGTTTTTGGATGGTTTTTTTCCTGAAAATCTGCCATTGTAGATCCAGCCTCGACAAGCTTTGAGAAAATGATGTAGCTGTTTTTAAAACATTCCTGTGGTGCTTAATGAAGAATCAAAAATAATGTTTTTAGGAAAGTTATTTCTAATAGAATCTCTTTCTCAAAGTTTTTTAAAGGCCATGCAGACTACGTATCTTGAAGTCCTAGCTCTCTGTAGTTGACTTTGTTTAGGAGTATACGTTTTAACGTACTTTTGCACATAATTGCACTGTATTTCACTGAAGGAATACATGCTGCACTGGTATTAGTAACGCATTTAACCTCTTGGTGCAAGACCTTGTAAATCTTCCAAATGTGGTCGTTTTAATTTACTGATGTTTTGTAAGGCAGTTTCATAACCGAAGTCCCCTTAGTCTACTTTAAATGACGAATTCTTATAAACCGAACCTTATTTGTAGAAGTGACTTAACTATATTTGTGGATCTTGGAGCGTTCTGGAGCTTTTTTGATTGTTTAGAAAAATAAAACTCTCTGAGAGGGTTGCTTGGATTTTTTTTTGATTTTTTTTTTTTTTTTTCCTGTTCAAAAGTTGACTGAGTAAACCTGAGTGTCTAGATTCTGGGAATTAAAAATTAATATATCCACTTCTGGTGAGAGACAATTTGCAAGCAAGAATCAGATTCGTGGTAGGAAAGGACTAAAAGGATGCTGCCAACTTAAACCCCAGCCAACTGGGGTTTTTAAGAAAATCTTTTTTTATTATTAGCACTGACTTTGTTTCCTTACCAGTTTTTCTAGTTTTATAATCACCTTAACTTTTTAAACTCTTTTTAAAGCTTTTCATTTTTCATGTGGGGTGAAGCAGCCACTGATCCTAGCTAGAGAAAAATCCTGTCAAATGCCTACAATAAAATGCATGGGGACACACACACCCCCCCCAGACTCCCAAATATTCTGTCTAGATAATTTTCAGTTATATTGGGTACTAAACAGACTTTTTAAAACACGCTTTTACAGAATATTGTTCATAAAATCTGTATTTACCTGTTGATTTAGAATATCCCGAATCGATGAAAAATGTAATAACCCCTTCTTTTCAGTCTTTTAAATCAAACAGGGAAATTCTGTTCACTTTGATTGGGATTTTTAGGTTTATACATTTTTGTTTCAGAAGTGCCTGGGAATTACTTATATTTCAAGACTTGTTTATTATTGGGGTTTTTTTAAAAAAAAAATCGTTCAAACATTTTTTTAGTATTAAAGATTTCTGGATCCAACTTAAGTTGACAGTGCCCTTTAAAAATTGCATTTCTTCTTTTAAAGGCCACTGCTAACGTGTCAACCAAATCATTGAAGGCAGTCTGGTTTTTGCCTTTTGTTGGACTGTTTGAAATTCAGATTTTCTACGCATCTAGAAATATTAGTAGCGGGTATGAGAATATAAAGGGCATGAAGTTGTTAAAACCTTGCCAGCGGCTCCATTTATACACGTACGTGTGGTGTGCGTGCCCACACAGATCTGCTTTTAGGTCTGGAGTTACAGTTAGAACGTCATCATCCCTGCCACGTAGGTCAGCAGAGCACCTTTAGTAAAACATCTTCAGTGAATATAGCAACTTCTTTGGGTTTTATTAAATATGAGCGGGCATCTGGACGCTAGTCAATTAAAAAGAAAGGAAAAACCAAAACTGAAACGCCTACCCACCCCAAAACCCCTAAAAACCCCCCCTTCCTCTCAGAACACCGCAACTTTAAATGCCAACCCCAGATACCCGACGGCGATAAACTAGACGTCAATCTTCGGACTGCCAGTCAAGACGCAAAATAATTTTAACTGTCAAAATACGTGACTCCATCCTTCGTACGCGCTTTTAGCATAAGCAGCTCAGTCTCCAGTCCTATGAAAGCTTAGACACACAATTGGTCCCATGGCTCACGAGACTAGTTCTAAGGGTGAAATTCAAGCACACGCTGACATTTTTGCAGAATTAGAAACCAAAACAAGTCTTAGAAATTAAGTTCTTCAGTGGGAAGGCTTAATTTTAATTTTTAGCTGCAGGCTTCTGTCGGAGTTGGAGGGGAATTATGTGAACGCTAATTTAATTTGAGAGCCGATGACTGCGCTACTGATTTTTCAAATTCTGTCTTGTTGTTTGGTCGTTAATAACTGAGGTGTGTGAGCTCTGACCCAAACCAGCGCGTATTACGCGAACAAAGAGGGGAAGCTTGCTCTGAAATTGTTGTCTTCTTGTAGTCGTTTTGTGTTTCTAATACAGGAAAGATATCTTTTGTTAGTAAATAAAAGCTAGTGGTAGCTATAACTGTTTCTAGATCGCAAAAAAAAAATAAAATCAGTATACCTCAGTCTTTGGAGATTTGGAGGATTCTTCTACTGTGTGGAACTGAAAACTAGAATACTCACTAAACTAGAGTGAACGCTTTGGGGAGATGCCCTGATTTTAGAACCCGCCTATCTGAGATACCATCATGCAGATGGATTTCTGGGTAGATTTTAGGACCTTTGTAAATCTCCAAGCCCATTCCAGGATCTGTCCCAGTGAAATCCAGTACAGTCCTAGCCCGGTATGATTAAATTTTTTTTTTTTTTTTTTTTTTACACTTTTGAAAAACCAATGTGCAAATGTTGCCAGTAAATGCGGTATTTCCGGACAGACCAATGGAGTAGTTCAATCAAAAATAAATTGTCCTAAAATACTAATTGGTACACGAACATTTTCATTTGAGTCTGATGTACGTGAAATTCAGTTAGCCCAGCTTTGTCTGAATGCCCATTTTCTTTTACATTTTTACTTTTTTAATTCTCACATTGTTTACTGAACTTTTTAACAGAGCAGATTAAGACTTTTTTAAAAAGTCCTCCAGTACAAGCAAAATCAGGGTACTTAAAAAAACAAACAAAGAAATATTCTCCAGTGTTAAGCAGATTATTTTGATGAGAAAGGGGAGAGCTAGGGAGTGAAAGAAGGAGCTGATACCTGGTGCTCTGCTTCCACCGGTGGTTGGGATCCATATTTACGTGGGAAAAAGATCACGTAAAGTTCTGAATTATGAGTCTTTCTAGCGTTGTACGAAAGATGGCTTGGCAGCGTTCACAGACGGTTCCGCTGCAGTCGGGGCAGCAGCGTGAACCCGGTGAACCTTTCTAGATTTAATAACTGGACGTTTTCCACGGATCAGTAACAGAGAAGTTGCGCCGATGCTTTACCACAAGCTGCCAGATCTGCAGGTGAACCTGTCCCGATGTCTGTGGGCGCGTGTATCGGGGTGGAAGAAAGAAAAACCAACAGAACCAAAGTGGAGAATTAATGTCCATCACCACCGCGCAGGCTGTTTACCCTTTTTAAAGGGCGGGGATCAAATCTTTAAGTGCTTTTTGTAACGTTTTTTCCTACAGTGGCGCATTACTGAATTTATTGTACATTTGATTGTTGTGTACGATGTGTTTATATTGTTGTATGTGGTCTGGTTCTTTTCTAGTTAAACAAAAAACATTAAATAAATACTAATCTCATGGTAAGCATGTATTTTTTTCCATTTTTGACACGAAAGATGTGGGGCACTGACGCACTCATCCCAGCTCTTTTTTTCTCCCTGGTTCTGAGGGCCGTGGGGTTGTTACCGCCCTTGGTGAAAAGGACTCTCGCTGTGGGAGAAGGAAGGCGGGAGTGCAGGGCAATCAAGGTTGATGAGAGCTTCTCAGAGAGGTTGCTAATGATTTGGAGAGAAATAATCGTTTAGATCAAGGTCGAAGGCATCGATATAGATGAGCTGTACGCAAACATGCTCACAGTGTGAGGTGTTAAGGGAAGCTGGGTTGAAGATAAGAATATGTCTAACAAGGACTTAATTCTGTTGGCACAGGATTAGGATTTTGGGTTCCTAGAATAGATGGAGCTGCTGAAAAGTTGCGCTGAGATGCTCGTGCAGCTGGTGCCTGTTAACGCTGCCATCACATCTCAGACTTTCCCTGAATTGTAGCTTTGTTTAGAAGACGGCCTGCTTGCTTACTGCTAGGTGTACTCAGATGGAAGAAGAAAGTCCAACCTGTACTCAACATTTTAGAAACATTTTTTTGAAAAATAAATCGACCTCCCGGTGATCTGGAGGCCGCACAAGCATTTATGTTTGTACTAGAAGACAACAAGGATGCAGCTGGGGGTCTTTGTGAAGACAAGTGAACTCCAGAAGTCGTGGGTGAGCCTCCTGGCTCCGTCACACAGAAACCTGATGCTGAGGCAAATGAACTAAAGCCAAATATAAGCTGGCAGCATATTAGACAAAAATTATGATATCATTCCTAATTAATTTCTAGCTTATTCCTCAATCTCCAGGCCGTGTCTGCGTAACTTAGCGCTCCCATTATGATGGGGATATGGTCTTATCTTGCATACTTTGTATTCCTTGAGGCATTAGGTCCTGTAACCCTGAAGAGTTTCCTGACATGGAACAATCAACAACTCGCCTACGAACTACTAAAGAAATATATATTTTTACGTCACACAAAGTTTCTCAAAAGCTTTTAAACAAACAAAACGTTCTCAGTTTTAAACAAACAAAACGCTCTCGGAAAATTTTTTAAGAGATGTAACGCTATTTCAAAAGCAACAATTTTCGCAAGAGCATGGATTAAAATTCCTGTTGTTCACATTTTCTAAAAAAAAAAAAAAAAAAAAAAAGCAAATAATTAGTTCCCCAAGTATGGTACGTTTCTGATCCAGTGGAAAAAAACTGCAGCTATTTCTTCAATGATAGAACAAGGAAAGAAATTGTGTTGCTTTAGCCCAAGGTTATGCAATTTTACTTATATTTTCAAAATTTAAAATAAAACCCTTGGTAAATGCATATGACTTGCACGTTTGGGAAAAATCCATTGCAGCTCCAACTAATGAAGCTTGTGAATCAATGCATGTCAGTCTGAACTGTGGTACTTCAGTTGTTCTAGTGTTTGCTCTTGAGTTTTCTTTTCAAGAAATATCACTGTATACTTAAAGTCAGAAAATATATTATGACTGAAGTCTGCGATTTTTGAGAAACATTTATTTTAAGGAAGACTGAAATCTTTTAACTGGTGTTACTGTTAATTATATTTGGTTACCAAACCCCAAATTTATGTCAATAATTTTTGCATCAGCACTAACAATGTCATTTTTTTTTTTTTTAAGTAATGTGTAAGTTGTTTTCTTAAAAGCAGACTATTAGTCTTGCTTTGCAGCACCCCTCCTGTTGCTGTGAGAAGCGCCTCCTCCACATAGCTGCCAAGTTTTCTCTCATTGGATAAACACTCCAAACAATATCTCAACTTCAAGTGGAACTTTCTGGGCTAGAAACAGCAACTCTAAAATTTTAGAAATACAAACCAAACAACTAAACACATTTCTGGAATCAGTGGGTTGTCTGTGATGTATTATTGTGGAAAACTGGATGAAATCAGTATGAAAAAAAAACGAAGTCTGTTCCGTGGCCGTTCCTTGCTGCACTGCACAGACTCCTGGGCAACGTTGCTGAAGGACTCCGAGTAAAGCACTTGCAACATCTTTAAAAATTCTAATTACGCTACTCTAGATACCACTGCATTTTTTTTTCTACTTTTAAAATTCTATTACCCGTTCCTAGCAGATGGAGAACCCTTGAGGTTCTATTAATATCGACACAAACTACCAGCAGAGCACTCTCTGATGTACAAGTGAAAGCAGCAATTACCTGGAAAGTTAGCGAGGTTCAAACAGAGCCGATTTCTACAAATTGTTCTTTTCAAAAGGAAGTTTTCAGCAGACGAAGTAATTTGGGTAAGGATCTGAAAAAATATGGAGACCGTTACATAAACTGAGGTGCTACTAAGTTGAACTGACAGGCAGAATCGAAGTTTAGAGGGATGAATTCGAGTAGTATTAAAACCTGACAGCGCAAATAAACTTTCTGGCTTATATTAAACAATTGTTCGCTTGTTTGTCATCTTTATATCTCAATACCAGAATCAGCAGTTGAAGGTTTATGTTAGTTGGCAATAAACTAAATTCTGTGAAATTTCCTAACTCAAGATTTTTGAGTCAAAATCAATTGCTCTATGGAAGAATATTTTTACCTGAATACTCTTCCAGTCTCGAACAGTTTGTGACTTCTGAAGGCACAGAACACTGATGGATGTAGCTCTCCAGCCTCTCTCATGACCACGTCTACTACTGGCCAACGATTCGCATCTGGAGCAGCCAACAGACAGCCCATGGTGCCAGCACCCAACACCGCGGTGCCGAGATCTGCACCCTCCTTCCTCTGCCCCCTTCGCTGTCACCATCCGCTGGAATCAGCAGTGAACGATCAGTCCCTAATGATCCTCTCATGATTTTATACATTTCCATTTGTCTCACCTGCTTAAATTTTTTTTTCCTGGCTCGGACATCTCACTCTATCAACATTTGTACGACACTGGGGCAGACTTTTATCTTTTCTCCTTCCCCTCCCTGACCCATTACAGGTTCCTGGGTACACTCTTGGAGAGGAGCGACCCCGGGGCTGTGTACAGCATTCAACACGGGGTGTGCACTCTTAATTAATGGTAATAAAGAGCTGTGAGAAGTTGGGTGCTAGGGTGGGTGTTGCCATACCCTGAAAGGGGAACGACAAGGGCAAAGATACTAATGGTCCTGTGGGCTGACTTTGGAATCAGTCCTGCTAATACACTCTTTAGACTTTGGTGTTAAAAGCAAGATAAATTACATTAAATTTTCAGGTGATGCTGATCAGAGCATGACCACGGACTGGCAACGCAATGTGGCTGGAAAAGGCTGGTCACTTGTAGGTACATAAATTCAGTTGATAATTAACACCATTGCCCAGCGGACTGAGAAGATTTGTGCGAAATACCGTGTAAATTCCAGCGGTTTTCATCTTCCAGAATGATTCATTGAAGAAGGTCGGGTGCGGAGCGGAGCCTTACACAAGCAGAATGGGGCTCATGAAAGATTTTAAAAGCGTGGCCTGCGTTTGGAAGGAGACGGAAGTTACAGAACTACGGACTTTTATTAAAAAGGGGGAATTAAGCTGGTGAAAAATACTGTTACAATATAAATAGATATAAATTGAATATGAATAAATGGATATGATACACTGGGAGAATGTTTCTCACTGTCAGAGGAAGGAGCCTTTAGATGTCTTTCCCATTTTGCTACAGCGAGCAGAGGAACATAAATGTTGTCAGGATGGAACATCTTAAGGTTGTGGAAGGGAAAGCGAAGGAGGACGCAGAGGACACGGTTGAGGCAGAATGGCTCCCATGGGAAAACAAGTATTTATGAGAAATAACTGGGGGGTCAAGAGCACGGAAAAGACCCTGGTGGCAAGAACAGGAAGGAGAAAGGCACCAAACTTCCAGTGAGAGAAGGTGAGAGGTTCGGGTCCAAGGATCTCAGACACGGCTTGGGGTTTGGGGTTTTATTTTTTTCAGAAGGTAACAGAGAGGAACAGAAAGACAAAGATGTTCCATCTCCTTCCGAGGAAGCTGCAGGCGCCTTAAGGAAGGATTTGGGTCATCAAAGCCTCTGCTATAGATAAAGGTGTGAGAAGAAAGCATCTAGGGCACCGCATCCCCTCCCGGGCGGCCGGTGGGTGCGGGAAGGGGCGAGCAGCGCCGAGCGCGGGGCGAGCAGGCCGGGGGAGCCGCCGGGCTGCGCCTGCAATCGGTGCGTTGCCCCTTTAATTGTGTCCCCAGCCCTCGGGCGTCTCTGTCCAACGCCCACGTCAGCAAATACCTTTTGTTTCTCTCCGGTTCGGGCTCCCAGGGCTCGGGGCTGCGGGAGGGACCGGCGCGTCGCCTTCAGC